ATGGGGAGCAAAGCGAATGAGCTAGCAGCCAAAGCCAACCAAGCCAAGGAAGCAAAAACATTCGAGGAAATAGTACCGGAACCATACCGGGAATTCCGAGACGTCTTTGCCAAAGAGAACTTTGACGAGCTACCGCCTCGAAAACCATGGGATCATGCGATCGAGCTAATCCCCAACGCCAATGCAAGCCTAGACTGTAAAGTCTATCCCCTTAACCCGACCGAACAAGAAGAATTGGATAAGTTCTTAGACGAGAACTTAGAGTCGGGGAGAATTCGACCCTCAAAATCCCCTATGGCGTCCCCCCTTTTTCTTTGTCAAAAAGAAAGACAGGAAGCTTCGACCAGTACAAGATTATTGAAAGCTAAACGAGATGACCATCAAAAACCGATACCCCCTTCCCCTCATCGGAGAACTAATGGATCAACTCAAGGACTCCAAATACTTCACGAAGTTGGACGTAAGATGGGGATACAACAATGTGAGGATAAAAGGAGGAGACAAGTGGAAGGCGGCATTCCAGACAAATCGGGGCCTGTTTGAACCAATGGTAATGTTCTTTGGACTTACAAACTCCCCCGCCACCTTCCAATGGATGATGAACGACCTATTCAAAGAACAGATCGCGCGAGGGGACGTCACGGTGTATCTGGATGATATCCTGATTTGCACCAAGGACAAGGAAAGACATCAAGAGGTGGTACGAGAAGTGTTAGCCATTCTACGGGCCAACAACCTCTTCCTAAAAGCGGAGAAATGCGAATTCGATGGTACTAGAAACCGAGTACCTCGGAGTAATCATCAGTCAAGGATCAATTCGCATGGACCCCATAAAGGTCAAAGGAATCACGGAATGGCCCCAGCCCGGAAAGAAACAGGAATTACAGTCCTTCCTGGGGTTCACCAACTTTTACCGACGATTCATCCAGGACTATAGCAAACACGTGCGACCATTAACCCAACTTACGGGAAAAGCGGAGTGGACATGGGGACCAGCCCAAGAAAAGGCGTTCCAGGAAATCAAGAGAAAACTAGCAGAAGAAGTGGTATTGGCAATACCCATGCCCATGGGAAAATATAGGGTGGAAGCGGATGCAAGCGAAGGAGCAGTAGGAGCAGTTCTATCGCAGGAACAGACAGGGAAGTGGCGACCAGTGGCATTTCTTTCCAAAGCCCTAACTGTCATGGAGCGGAACTACAAGATATATGACAAGGAACTTCTCGCAATCATGCTCGCCTTAGAAGATTGGAGGCATTATCTCATGGGCGCATACCAAGACTTCGAGGTATGGACAGATCATCAAAATCTCCAATACTTTCGGAAGCCGCAAAAACTCAACCGTCGACAAGCATGTTGGGTAACCGAGTTAGCAGAGTATCACTTCATGCTACATCATAAACCCGGAACAGCCAACAAGAAGGCCGACCTATTGTCCAGAAGGGCAGATCACGACCAGGGAGGAGAAGATAACCAAGAAGTGGTGATGCTGAAGCCGGAGATGTTCCGAGCGTTAATTATGCCAGGAGAAGAAGAAATCCATAAGCGCCTTCGAACAGCGCTGAGGGATGTCACCAAATGGGATAAAGGAATCGAGGCATCCCTTCACCATCCCAGAGGGATTACTCAAAAGGATGGACTAATGCACTACGACGGACGGTTATATGTGCCTCAAGATGCCAAGTTGCGAGGAGAGTTGATTGCCATCCATCATGATCACGTTACGGCAGGACACCCCGGAATCGAGAAAACCAAGGAGCTTGTACAGCGAGAGTACTGGTGGCCAAAGCTCAAAAACGACGTAGAACGATACGTGAAAGGCTGCGAAGCCTGTCAGCGCACCAAAACCAGCACTCAGCATCGAAGGGCACCTTTACACCCCCATGCTGTACCCTCACGACCATGGGAACACATCACAGTTGACATGATAGGGGAATTACCCGACTCAAACGGGTACAACGCCATTCTCATGATCGTGGACCAATTCTCAAAGGAAGTAATTCCAATACCATGCTCCACGGAATTGACCTCGGCGGGATGGGCAAAGATCCTTAGAGATCACGTCTGGGCCAAGCATGGAATGCCCCAGAAGGTAATCTCGGACAGGGGGCCCCAATTTGTGTCCAAGTTCATGAAGGAACTCTATGAAATGCTGCATATTCAAGGTAATCCATCCACAGCCTATCACCCACAGACCGATGGACAAATGGAGAGGGCCAACCAGGAGATTGAAAAATACCTTCGTATTTTTATCAATTATCGACAAAATGATTGGAGCGAGTGGCTGCCGCTCGTGGCGTTCCAACACAACAACCGGAAACATTCCGCGACGGGTTATTCTCCGTTTGAAATCAATCACGGACAAAAACCTCACCTCGCTCCCCTCACGATAAAAGAAGGAACAAACCCCGCAGCAAGGGACTTCATGGCAGATATACAAAAGATCCACGAGCAAACGGCTAAAGCCTTGGAGAAGGCGGCAGAAACTATGAAAAAGCAATATGACAAACACCAAAGAACGGCGGTGGAGTACTAACCAGGGGACAAAGTCTGGTTGGATTCCACCAACCTACATCTTCCCCGACCAATGAAGAAATTAGGGGATAAACGCGTCGGACCATTCGAAGTGTTATCCAAACATGGTGCCTCCACATATAAACTGCGACTTCCTTTTTCATGGAAGATTCATAATCATTTCAATGAAATCCTTCTCACCCCTTATTACTCGCCGGAGTTCCCAATCCAGATACAGCCCTTGCCTCCACCGCCGGATCTCATAGACGGACAAGAACAGTATGAAGTGGAGGAAATCGTAGATCGAAGGGAAAGAGCACGAGGAAGAGGACGAAGATGGGGAACGGGGATTGAATACCTGGTCAAGTGGAAAGGATATCCGAGAGAAGAGAACTCTTGGGTGGACGAGCAAGACCTGGATAATGCCAGGGATGCAATCGAAGACTTCGAACAAGTCTCATTTATTACTCGACCACCCACGGACTGGTGGGAAGGCGGCGACGAATCTGATTCATGGTCAGAAACAGAGTCGGTAACCGAATCCGAAGTCGACCACCCGCTAGTACAAGCAATACAAGAGTACTTGATCAAGCCAAACGCACCCTCGCTCATAGGAGCTTACCTCCCAAAACCAAACTACGTTGCAGTCGGGACGACTGCCTTAACAGGGGGGTAATGTTACGATTTTGCGCTCTATCTTATCTTATCGGCTCTCTCGTAATCTCGCTATACTAATTCTCCAGGCTTGATCGCACATTACCATGCGGGTTCAGTACATTTACCGTACCGTTGCAGACACTTGTAGTATATTTAGCATGACCCAAACTGTATTTAAGTAGCTCAACTGCAGGTCTTAAACCTCAGTCTCGAACTAAAGTTTATTCACCCGATAACTTAGTCTGAACTCACTCTCGCTCAACTAAGCGATAGCTCCCTGCACATAAACCTGCGAGCAACATAAGGCACCTGACCGAAGTGCGAGTCACACCTAGTTGTTTAATCTTGTTTGTGTAATCGGTCGCTAACATTGTGCCTGCTCGTTGTACACTTGACCAAAGTGTGAGTCACATCATGAGTTTGACCTTGTTTGTCATACTAGTGGGTTACAGGTCTAGACTGCAAGGCACAAAGTCTGCAGGAAGAAGGGAAGGATCAATAGGGCCAATGCCAATGACATCATATGTGGATCAATAACTTCACATGCTGAGCACCAATTAACTTGGTTTAAATTGGATCTTGCTTACAATCATTGCATTAGGAAAAGTCTGCTCTAGGGACAAAGTTGATAAATTGTAGATTGTGTCTGCAATTTCAGAGTGCACAGAGCCTAGAGGCTCATCACCGGTGATACACCTGGTATCAGGCTACCCATAGATTTTGCGATTTTACATCAATTTATGCAGTCTACAAGTGGTACAGAGAGCTACAGTGGAGGCTTCGTACTGGTAGCTAAATACTATGTAAAGAAAGAGAGCATGGCAGTACAGAACAGACTTAGAAATGACATCTCGATGAGTCAATTCTACCAGCCATCAACATGCCAAGCTAAGCCCTACCTAAACAAGACTATTACAGTCAGATCTTGGGGACTCATCTGTATGAAGTACAAAAACAAAGAAGCAGAAGAACAGAATGAACTAGATGCCTCATCGCCTCAATAAGCAGAAATAACCTGTCTAGAAGAAGTGCTAAGTCCAGAAACAGATCAGCATTCAAGATGAACTCAGTCTATGAAAAAAATAACCTTGGAAGAATGAATAGCTGTGTTGGGTACTGAGCTAACCGACCTTGATCATGCAGTGACCAACAGAATATAATCTCGGACCTGAGGTCGATCGTGATTGGTGGTTACATCCTTGAGATCCTGTGCAAACTGCAGTATTCAATACATATGGTGTGCAGCAAGCCTTGCAGATGGTAGAAGGAGCTCCCATGGACCAGTAGGGTACTCCTCAGCAACAGAATAACCCAGCACAGTCATGTCAAACTGAATGGCAACTATGGAATGGCACAATACTTGTAGAATAGTGACTCACCATTTGTGTTAATCCCAAAGCTTGTACCATAATGACTGTAGATATGGGCTCCTATACTGAGAACAAGAATCGTATAAATTAGCAGCAACTAGATGCATAATGGCAGGAAAGCATTCCCCCACATTTGTGCTAGTAGCCTGTATAGCTACCTAATCAATCACTGGTTTTATTGCATATCCTCGACTGAAGTGAATTAAGTTACCAAAGTCAACCTATAAGGGCAACTCAACCACTCGTTGGACTCTCCTCCAGGGTAGGTTGATGCAACTGATGGGACTGCTGAAGCAGTGTCCCATATACTACCTACTATTAGTGCTTGTACCTACTCCATGCAGTACTAAGTACTACTACTACAACCTATTAGTATATGTAGTAAAGGGAATACACTCAGCTTGCTTATGAGTTCCTCCTGCACTCCAGCACCATCCTCTCCAGCTGGTGCATCTCCAGCATCACATCTCCAGGATATGCCTCTCCAGACCATCAATCTCCAGCGATGTTTCTCCAGTCATGTCACTCCAGCTATGCATCTGCAGATTTTGGATCTCCAGCTTTGCACCTCCAGCAGAGTCTCCAGACACGCATCTCCAGACCTTCAATCTCCAGTGGTGTCTCCAGCGATGCATCTGCAGTGGTGTGTCTCCAGATGCAATGCCCCCCCCCCCTTGAAACTGGTTCCAGAAACATGGCCGTGAACAACTGCATCCAGTGCTTCTACAAGTCCAACCAATCTAACAAACCTAATAACCCCCCCAACAGTGGCAACCTTCAATCCAACTCATTGGTGACATGAGTAGCAATCTTGTCCATAATCAAGTCAAGCATCGTGGCCCTGTTGATAACTAATCTAACTGAGCAATGGCTGCACCCCAATCGCAATGACTGCCAGTCAGATGAATGCTGAAGGTGATCTTTTGCTGGTGGTGTTAATGAATGATGGTGATAGTGAAAGAGCCTCATGTGAATAAAGGTCATTGCACTGAAGAAAAGAACAGCATTGAGTGATAACAGACTGATGGCAGAGATGAGCAGGACCATGATGAGCAGATGACAATAAGCAGAACAATGACATGCCACTACCGTGATGATGGTGGTGGTAGGAGGACAAGAGAGAAACAGTCACATGATCAGTTTGCAACATTGAAACCCCCTGTCAGTTTGCTGACTTGGGTTCTCTGGTCCATGCCTCCACATAGCTATCTTTGTGGCATGACTTTTAGACTGCCACTTTCTCTGCACGGATCTTTCTTTTTAACTGGATTTGTTTCATACATTGTTTGAATTTCCACACAGATTGGCCATTACATGTGACTGTACTAGGAATGGAATATACTACGAGTCTCGCATCAGAACTGGCTTTTTGCTCCTCAATCTTACTGGCAAGTTTTCACCATGGGTTGGCTGCAACCTATCTAGGAGCAGCACAGGAACCTCAGACTCAGGAACATGTACCCACCCTCTGCAATATAATGTTAGAGACAAATCAGAATTGAGGATCCATTCACATACTTGTGTCCTGCTTTCTTCGCTGGCTTGGTTTTCTGATACTTTTTGGGCTTGAGGGCAGTCTTCGGCTTCTCCACTGTCATCTGTTTCATGTTCTTCGACGTGTTTGTCAGCTTTATCTTCTTCTGTGGCCTGTCTGATGCTTTGATTTCAGCGGGATCAATCTTATGCTTAGCACTCCTTGTGGCAAGCAATCCATAAGCCTTTGCTGATGCAGCTTTATCAATGCTGTGTGCCTTTGGTTTTGCTGCAGAGCCTTTCTTTGCCTTGGTTCTGTTGCAGGAATCAGCAATCTGAAAAAAGACTTGAAGATCTCTTTGGCTGCTCTGGCTGGGGTGATTGAGGTTCAATTTCACTTTCGTCACCACCATCCTCCTCCTCCCCTGAGTTCTCTCCTATCTCTCCATCGCTTGTGAAACCCTGGCCTTCTTCACTGACTCATAAGTCTCGTAGTCCTCCCTGTGGGCATCATCATTGCAATCAGTAGCAATATTGCCTGCTGATCATATGGGGCTGTCATTGATTATATCCTGGGGTTTTGATCATCCTCTCTTCTTGGTTCTGGATAGCTCTTCTTCAGCCTTCTTTGCATCCTCTTCAGCCTGGTGTTTTGTAGCGATGGCAAGCTTTCATGCTTCCAAGTGAGCAGAAATCACCTCAGGTTTGTAAAAATCAAAGAGTTGTCGCATGAACACACCACTCATTGAGGCCAACGTACAAGGATTCTCAAATCCATCGGGTGACAGAGAGAAGCTTGCATACTTTTTAGTATCAAAATAAGTGTCCGGATTGTTGGCCATGTCTTCCCAGAAAAAAATTGGTGACTCATTGGACAAGTGGTGAGTGTATTCTGACACATTTTCAGAGGAAACACATGAAAGAGATTACTGCTATGCACTCCAAAGATCAACAAGATGCTGCTTCAGTGATTCCAGACCATGATCTTCAAATGTCAGTCGGGCATCATTAATGATTGGAGCCTGGTCATTTGGTAATACATGTTTGGCATAGGCTGAGAACCTCTGCAGAAGCTCAGCCTGTTCTTCCTTTTTCAAGGTCACAGAGAAGCCTGGTATGTTGTCTGAATGGCTGCCATCAATGCTGAAGATAGTTAGATCAATGAGAATGAATCAGATCCGAAAACAGCCACACATACATTGCCTGTTTCACAATGCCTTTTTCTTTGTATGACAGCATTAAGGTCATTTGTGCCACTCCTACTGGGCCCTGAGACCAGGTATCCATGAGGATCTGCAAAGCCTCAGGCCACACAATGTGATTGCTATCACATTGTTCAGTTCCTTTCTGTGAAAAGTCAGCTTGAACCACTTATGTGTCGACATCATACTCGCTCTCGTGTTGTGCTGCTTTCTCATCATACGCTTTCAGCTCTTCCTCTGAAGCATTGTTGATCACCATGGACTTGGCCTGCCTGACTCTACCAGCATTGTTCTCCACTGAAGAGATAGCTAGAGCTGCATTCAGTTCAGCACTGTGATCAGCAAGATAAAGTTCTCTGCCAGTCACATGGCGAGCAACGAGCTTGGTTAATTCCTTGATTGCTTTCTCTACTGTGACAGATGGTGCTCAGGGAGAGTCGACACAGTGCTTGAAGTGGTGCTCAGTGATGTCTTTGCACAAGTCTTGCCTGAAGGCATCTTTCCAGTTGCTGAAAAGCTTAGCAATCATGCCTGGCTTGGTGCCCTAGAGGAAACATCATGTTAGTCTCAAATTCAATGTGGGTGAGTTAGTTCAAGAACTTGCCATCTTCCACAAGGCTTCACTGCAGTCGGAGAAAATGGCTGCATGCTCTTCCTTCAGTTTCCTCATCCGCCAGATGATCCAGTTCTTCAGGATCTCTGCATTATCATTGTCAAAATGAGGATCCTGCTCCTTGCATGCCACCTTGAACTCAGGATACATTGGGACCAACACATCATGCTCAGCATCACTCCAGGTTTTTTTCATGTTGCGTTTGGCCTTCGTTATAAGAGTTTCATATTCCTGAGGAGACCAGGACTCAATTTTGAAAGGAGGTGCTTGCTCGAAAGTCATGACTGTGTTGGAGTAGCTAATGATTTCATAGGATGACTGGAGCACAGTGTTTGCAAGTGGGGGGAAAAGAGTAGAAATTGGTCATGAAACCGCAGTTGAAGGATTTTATGTGGGGTGGCATTGAAGGAGCAAACAATGAGCTCAAAGACATGGTCAAGGAAATTGGACAATTTTGCAGAGGGGATGCCCATGTGGCTCATTTGAATATCTGAATATTTTGAACCCTGGTGAGATAGTAGGAGGATGTTCTATCACCTCAAAATCATACCATACAGGCTATTGACAAGGGTTTAAATGTTACATGTGACAAGCTAGCTATTTACAACTCGTAATCCATCATCAGCTAAAAATCATTTATCCCATGATCCCTTCCGCCTTTCAGCCAGAGGTTTGTTCAGCCTTTTTGATTGGAGTGACTCTGCCATAAGACACATATCCTTGGCAAAGACATGGAGATGTTCTTCAGTTGCATGATCCATATCCCCATCATGGAGCTCAACAATGAAAACATGCCATTGTATATGCCCTTCCAACTGTCGGAACTGAAAGGCATGAACATGTTTCCTGCAATGGTCACCAGAAATGATTACCCAACAGTCATAGTCACATATCCCCAGATGAACCATAGTGATTCGGCATGGCTCAATAATCTCTTGTGACCTTTGCTTCTTTTTTGTGATGCAGATTTTACCATCAAAGTTCTCAGGGAGAACTTCAATGTCTTTCCCTTTTGCCTGGATCCTGTTAGGATCGTGCCAATAGGATTGTGGCAGTAAGTGCATGTAGCGGAATGCTGCGGGATGCGTCGGGCGTAGGCGAAGCTATTAGCAACATCACCCCTGAGCCGAGGCCCTAAGATGGATACAGATGGAAGTCCACGGAGTGGCAGAGATGAGGTAAGAGATAAGTCCAATGGATCGGAGTTCCGTGGACTGGAGAACGAGAGTTAGACAGAGTCAGAGAGAGAGAGATTGGGCTGAACCAAGTTGATATTCGAACTGAGTATCTACAGTGTAATTCTAAGGCTTATATACTAGTTAGGAGTCCGATCTAGTTCCTACTCGGAGTGGTCTACATTCTAGGGTTGTCGGAGGATGTAATCTACCGATTGGTAGCCGATGGGGTCCGATGACATGTTCGCTACCAATGTCGGGCTATTGATAAATTGTAATGGAGAAGTGAAATATAAAATGGAATATGAAATGGAATATGAAATAGAAACTGGGAATCGGAATCCGTAGGATTCTGGGCTGTGGTTTGTTGGATTGAGTGGAGGTCGGATTTCCGTCGGCATGCTTGTTACAGTATCCCCCCCTTAGTGTTCTTGCCCTCAAGGATGCAGATCCCGATGGCCGGGTGTGACCGCGTGGAATTTTTTCAGGTTGGTCACGTGGCTTTTCACCTCTTAGCTTTCTACCACCACCATCTCCTCTATTTTCTGAATTTCGTCCTCGTCGTTCGTCATGTCATCAACCATCGAACCCCAAGGGCCCAACCTGCCTGATGAAGGGAAAGTTCTGGATGCAATGGAGAGCCTCCCTCGCCAGAAGAAAGCTGGGCCCAAAGTCCCGCTGATATGCTAGCCACACATTCACACCTTGATTTTGCGATTTTGTAATAATACTAGTGCATATCTATCCCTGACTAGTCATAACTAGAGGACTATAGCGGAGGCTTCGAGCTGATAGTCAAGCCAGGAAGCTACTAGTCGAGCCAGGACTTAGGCATGATATCACTAGTGGGTCAAGCCTATAAGTCGGCATGACTAGTACCTCGAATACTAGTACAAGTCATTGAATAATGGTCACTAGTAGACGAGGGTAGCTACGAGAGCATCCAACAAGAAGCAGAATACACAGATCTTGTGAAAGTACAGTCACTAGTGGAACGATCTGAGCAGGAATGCCTAAGACGGTTTGACTAGTCGCATGGCGGTCTCTAACGGGACTTAGAAATGAATTAGTGAAAGAAGCCAGCAGCCCAGATCTGACTAGGGCGATTGAGATCTATTCCGGTCGGCACTAGTATAGCCGGGTCCTGTCTTCGATCACAATCGAACAGCTACTACAGGCACAAACACTGGAATCGGAGCTTATCCATGACACTAGTGGAGCATTGTTGGGCCGAGGGTGCGGAAGAGGACCACTCGTGGAGTTCCTGGACCCACTAGTAATCAAGAAACTACCTCTAGACCACGTATTGCATGATCATTCACCATTTACTTGTGACTAGCCAAGAAATTCTTACCAATAATACCCTTTACCCAGTTTATTTATACTTTGATTGTACCTTACTAGTCAGTATATAAGTAGTAGAGTAGGTGCACGTGCAGGCAGGCAAGCCATCCCCATGATTGTGACCTACTAGTCAGTAACTAGTGCCCCAATTAAAGGCTTTTGTGCTTAACCTCGACGAAGCAGCGGACTAGTCGCTAAGTTACCCATAGTATTGAGTGAATAGAAGTGTTTTAGAGTCCACTGTTGTGTCCTTGCCTAGGCTCAGAGTGTTTCGAAGTTAGTTTAAGCGAGTTTCTCGAAGTTTAAAGTATTATTCTTAGGCCAAGAGTGCCACTAGTCAGCCAAGAGTGCAACTAGTCAAGTGTCTATCACTTGTAGGAAGCAGTATAGGGCCAAGAGAGCCACTAGTTCGAAGCAGTTTCAGTCAGAGCGAGCGCAGTAGCTCCAAACAAGTCACTATTACATTCAATTGTGTCTTAACAACCCCACTAGCATGAGTAGTACCTTTGTATAGCTCACTAGTAACAAATAAACGTCTTTATAACAACTTCCCTTGATTATTGAAGTCTGTAGAGTGCTTCTATCGTACTCGAAATGCCCGAATTCAATATATTTGGTGATTTGTGTAGAGTAGTAGAGGGTTAGGTGTTTGTGGTGTTCATATCCATTCACTAGCCTTTAGTCACTCGCCGTTACCGAGCACATCACTGCACAGTGGGGACAACAATGGAAGTAGGCGTGAGCAACCAGGTGAGCCCAGGACTCAAAGGGACCCCTCCCGCTGAGGCACAGGAATGCAGAATGTGGCAGCTGGCACAGAGCCTGGAGACGAGGCGAAATCTATGGACTCCCCTATTCTGCCTAGTACCACCGGGACCAAGGACAAGAGCAAGAACCAGAGGACCCCAACTGCCTTATCCCACCAAGCAGGCACAACCAAGGGTGAGGACCCTTCAATGGGACAAAAGACCTCACAGGGTGATAGCCAAACTGCTCGAGGCAGGGGCAAGGAGTCCCTGGGAAGTAAGTCCTTGTGGAATGACCGCCCCACTCAAGGCAACCAACACAAGGTAACCCTCACTGAAATTGCTGACAATGAGGATGATTTCAGTTACCAACAGAGTTTACGGAACTCTAGAAAATCCAGACTGTGCAGGCCATCCCCGAGTGGAAAAGACCTTAGTAGCACAAGTGAACAGGCAGGAAGCTCAGTAACTGCAGAAGACCAATGGGCCACAAGTCCTGCAGCGAATGGCAACAGGGAGAAGTCCCCGATGCTGAAAGAGGGAAACCTTGAGTACTCATCAGAGGAGTACCCTTCAGACCAACAATATTTAGAACCCTACCAATCAGCATGGGTTTGTAGAGCCATGTGACTTACCCCAGATGCTGCCAAAGCCCACTTATGACAGTGAGTCCATCCTTGATGCCTCGAGGAGGTAACTGACGAACTAGTAGAAGCCCTACTGGAACGTCCCCACAAGACATGGAAGGAAATCCACATCAAAATGCAATGGATGGCTGATCTAAAAGGGCCCCCACAGTATATTCAGGGAAGAAAAGGGCGGAACGTTACCATTTCTGTTCAGCTAGAAACCTATAACACCTTGGCTAAACACCCTGTTAAAGCCTTGGTAGACAGCAGATGTATGGGAAGCGCTATCGACCAAAACTGGGTCTAAGAGCATCAAATTACCACCTGAACTGCTGCACACCCTATGCCCATATACAATGCAGATGGAACCTGAAACAAAGGGGGTGACATCACTGAATACGTCAAAATGCATCTTACAATCAGAGATCATACCGAACGTATTGAACTTGCTGTGGTCAACCTAGGCACCACCCCAATCTTTTTAGGGTATGATTGGCTACAGCCCTGCAACTCCCTGATCGATTGGGACACTGGAGCCATCACCCTAGCATGTTGTGATTGCTGGAAAATCCCTTTCCAGCTACCTGATGCAGACCCAGACCAACAATGGGGAACCGAAGTCGAGGAAGGGGATAAAATCCTTGTAATCAACTTTGAACATGCATTCCATGTCCAGGCCATGGTATGGAATACAAGACTGGTACGCTCCGGTTATAAGCAATAGCCAGTATTTGCAATGCTAACACCTGCCATGTATAGCAATATGACCCCGGAAACTTATCTGTAGCCAAGTATAGCATAACATTGAATATCATCTACATAATATTTATTTTTCCTTTCCGCTGGGTAATCAAAATTCCCAGTTTTGTGCTTATGGCAAACTCAGCATTCCATGATTTGAAATGAGCCTGTGGGTTGTACGTAGATACATTGTTATGCTTTTCATGGTTCTGAAATGCGTAACTGTACAGGTCATAGATTATGGATAGTAAGTAACCTATGTTAATCTTGCATCCATAACCTTCCGAGAAAAACAAAGACCCATACGCTTCCAAAAATGAATGTTTCAATCAAGTTTCCACCGTATGTCTTCATCGTTGGCGATTCGTTTCTTTATAAAGGACATCAATCAGTGCAATTCAGCTTGAGCCTTGGGTTTATGGGACTAAAGCACAGCTGATTGATGGTTTTGAGGGGATCAGTATTTGGACAATTTTTTCTTCAATCTCTTTGCCCAGGAACCGATAGTGGCATGATCAAGTACCTGAAGCTATGGTTGAAAAGTTCTTAGAGCTTTTCAGGCGAGCTGTGATTATGGATGATGCCATGTTGATGACATCACATGAGACAATATGTCAACCAGTAGAGTGCAATGTCTTTGACTTTGT